AATGGCCATTTTCACAATGTTTGTTCTTCCTATCCATGAGCAAGGGATGTCTTTCCATTTTCTGAGATCATCTTCAATTTCCTTTTTCAGTGTATTATAATTTTCACTGTATAAGTCTTTCACTTCTTTCGTAAGAGTAATTCCTAAATATTTCATTTTTTTGCTTGCTAATGTGAATAGTCCAGTTTCTCTTATTTCCCTCTCTGTAATTTTGTTGTTCGTGTATAGGAATGCTATTGATTTCTGAGTATTGATTTTGTATCCAGCCACATTACTGAATTTATTTATTGTATCTAAGAGTGTTTCAATGGAGTTTAGGGGGTCTTCTATGTAGAGTATCATGTCATCTGCAAACAATGATGATTTAACTTCTTCTTTTCCTATCTTTACCCCTTTTATTTCTCTTTCTTGCCTAATTGCTCTAGCTAGTACTTCCAGTACTATATTAAATAGGAGTGGTGATAAAGGACATCCTTGTCTTGTGCCCAATTTTAAAGTAAAGGCTTTCAATTTTTGGCCATTTAGTATGATGCTGGCTGTTGGTTTGTCATAAATGGCCTTTATTATATTGAGGTAAAGACCATTTATTCCAATTTTCTGTAAAGTTCTTATCATGAATAAGTGTTGGACCTTATCGAAGGCTTTTTCTGCATCTATAGAAATGATCATGTGATTCTTATTTTTGGCTTTATTGATATGGTGGATTACATTTATTGATTTGCGTATGTTGAACCATCCTTGCATTCCTGGGATGAATCCCACTTGGTCATGGTGTATAATCTTCTTGATGATTTGCTGGATCCTATTTGCCAATATTTTATTGAGGATTTTTGCATCTGTGTTCATTAGGGAGATCGGTCTATAGTTCTCTTTTATAGTTGGGTCTTTCTCAGGTTTTGGTACTAGAGTAATATTTGCTTCCAGGAATGACTTAGGAAGGATTGCTTCCCTTTCAATTTCATTGAATAGTTTGAGGAGTGTCGGCATTAGGTCTTCTTTATATTTCTTGTAGAATTCTGCAGTGAATCCATCTGGGCCTGGGCTCTTCTTGGTGGGTAAGGCCTTAATTACATTTTCAAGTTCATTAGCAGAGATTGGGTTATTCAACAGTTTTATATCCTCTTGATCTAGCTTTGGTACTTCATATGCTTCTAAGAATCTGTCTATTTCTTCTGTGTTATCAAACTTTTGAGAGTAGAGGTTTTCGAAATAGGTGTTGATGATCCTCTGCATTTCTATTGGGTCTGTAGTGATTTCTCCTTTTTCATTTCTTATTGCATGAATTTGAGCTTTTTCTTCCCTTTTTAAAATAAGGTTGGCTAGGGGCTTATCGATTTTATTTATTCTTTCAAAGAACCAACTCTTTGATTCGTTGATTCTTTGGATTGTTTTCTTAGTCTCTATTGCATTGATTTCTGCTCTGATTTTTATAATTTCCTCTCTTCTTTTGGCTTTGGGCTTGACTTGCTCTTCTTTTTCTAGCTGTTTGAGGTGTAGCATCAAGTTATTTATTTGTATTCGTTCTGTTTTCCTGATGTGGGAACTCAGTGCAATAAATTTTCCTCTCAGAACGGCTTTCATTGCATCCCACAGATTCCGGTAAGTTGTATCTGCATTTTCATTTTCTTTTAGGTATTGTTTAATTTCTTCTTTAATTTCTTCTGTGACCCACTGATAACTCAAGAGTGTGTTATTTAGTTTCCATGTGTTTGCGGAATTTTTGCAGTATCTTTTGTCATTAATTTCTAATTTCAGAGCGCTATGATCCGATAATATGCAAGGGATGATTTCAACTCTTTTGCATTTGCTTAAATATGTTCTGTGAGCTAATATATGGTCTATTTTAGAAAATGATCCATGTACTGCTGAGAAGAATGTGTATTCTGATGTTGTTGGGTGGAACATTCTGTATATGTCTATCAAACCCATTTGTTCACAGGTGTGATTCAGTTCTGTTATTTCTTTGCTCATTTTCTGTCTGGTTGATCTGTCCCTTGGTGTCAGTGGTATATTAAGGTCTCCTGTTACAATTGTGTTACTGATAATTTGAGTTTTCATTTCTGTCAATAATTGTTTTACATAACTGGGTGCTCTGGAGTTTGGTGCGTATATATTTAAGATAGTTATCTCTTCCTCTTGGAGTTTTCCCCTTACGAGTATGTAGTGACCTTCTTTGTCCTTTATGGTCATTGTTGGTTTAAAGTTCACGTTGTCTGCAAACAGAATGGCTACTCCTGCCTTTTTTTGGATTCCTGCTGCATGAAGAATTGTTTTCCATCCTTTGACTTTCAGTCTGTGAATATCCTTCTGGGTTAGATGGGTTTCCTGTAAACAGCATATGGTTGGATTTTGTTTCTTGATCCATTCTGCTAGTCTGTTTCTTTTGATTGGTGCATTGAGACCATTTACATTAATGGTTATTACTGTTAAATGCTGGTTAATTGTAGGAATGTTATCTCTCAGTTGTTGCATCTTTATCTTTCTGTTCTGTTTAATTATTTGCTTTGCTTAGTGGTTTTTTCCTTTGTGTATCTAAACTGTCTTTCAATATTTTTTGCAGGGTTGGTTTGGTGTTCATGAAGTTCTTCAGCTGTTCTTTGTCATGGAAGTATCGTATTGCACCATCTATTTTGAATGATAGTTTTGCAGGATATATCAGTCTTGGTTGGAAATCATTTTGCTTTAGGATCTGGAATACTTCACTCCATGCTCTTCTTGACTTTATCGTTTGTGCTGAGAAGTCTGCTGTGATTCTGATAGGTTTTCCTTTATAAGTGATCTGTCTTTTCTCTCTGACAGCTTTTAATAATCTATTCTTGTGTTGGATTTCTGGGATGGTGATTATTATATGTCTGGGTGTAGTTTTATTTTGGTTATGACTGTTTGGAGTTCTATATGCTTCACTGATCCTGATGTCAGTTTCTGATCTCATGCTTGGGAAATTTTCAGCTATTACTTCTCTAAATATCCTCTTGACATCCTTCATGTTGTCTCCCTCTCTTTCATTAATCCCTATCATTCTTATGTTATTCTTCTTTGCATCGTCTTGCAGTTGTTGAATTGTTGTTTCCTGATTCCTTGTTATTTTCAAAAGATCTTTCCTTTCCTGTTCACTAGCTGCAATCCTGTCTTCAAGGTCTGAAATTCTATCTTCACTTTCATTAAGGCGGTTTTTACAACTTTCAGTGGAGTTTTTTATTTCCTGTATATCTCTGTGCATCTGCATTATGTATTCTGTTTGTTTCTTATATTGCTCGTCTAGGGATTCTATCTTTTTGTTTAGGTCCTCCAATTTTTTTCTGTGTTTTCTTTAGATATATTTAGAATCTCTTTCATTTCTTTTATCATTTCTTCTTTTATCTGGGAGATTATTTTGAGTTTGAATTTCTTTAAAGCTTCCTGGAGTTGCTTGTCAATTTCAGTGGCTATTGTGTCCGATATATGAGGTGGATGGGATATATTTTCTTCTATATACATCGCTCCTAGGGTTTCTTGAGATGGGCTGGAGGTTTGAGGTTGTAATTTGGTCTTTCGTTTTGTCATTTTCCTATATTTCTGTGTTTTAAGTGTTATTTGAAAGCTTCCTGAGGATCTGTTGAAAATCCCCTTCTATGTTTGGAGCTACTGAGACTCTGGCACCGCGCTACCCCAAGCCATTGGGCCTACAGAACCAGTGGCCCTCCTCTGCCTGCTCAGAACTCCGCAGTTCCAGACAAGCTGGGCCTCAGGGACACTGTGCGCCCACCTGCCCCTTGGAAGCTCCACAGTTCTTCAATCGCAGCCGGGTTAGGGTACTCACCACAGGCCGCAGTGGTTCAGGAACCTGTGGACCCTCCCTGGTTGCAGAGATATCCAGAGTCCTCCAGACATGCAGAGAGGCCGGTGAGGGCACCCCAGATCTGCCCAGCTCCTCCTCTGCAGACCTATGGCCAGGCGCGGCAGCTAAACAGGCTGGGCTAGGCTGATAGTGTGGGCCCGCCCATCCGTCGGCAGCTCAGCAGGTCTCCAAGTGAAGCCGGAATGGGGAGGCTGATGTGGAAGCCTCAAACCCACCTCTCCCCTTCACTGCACCTGGAAGCCTGTGGGAACTCCAGCAGTCTGGGCGGAGATATCCAGAGTCCTCCAGACACGCAGAGAGGGCGGTGAGGGCACCCCAGATCTGCCCAGCTCTTCCTCTGCAGACCTATGGCCAGGCGCGGCAGCTAAACAGGCTGGGCTAAGCTGGTAGTGTGGGCCAGCCCACCTATCGGGAGCTCAGCAGGTCTCCAAGTGAAGCCGGAATGGGGAGGCTGATGTGGAAGCCTCAAACCCACCTCTCCCCTTCACTGCACCTGGAAGTCTGGGGGAACTCCAGCAGTCTGGGCGGAGATATCCAGAGTCCTCCAGACACGCAGAGAGGCCGGTGAGGGCACCCCAGATCTGCCCAGCTCCTCCTCTGCAGACCTATGGCCATCAAGTTCATGATTACAACAAAAATGTGCCTTCCGTGCTGCCAGGAATGGTACTATCCTCTCCATGCTCCTGGACCTTTCTCTTTCCTCAGCTCTCCTTGGCCTCTTTTTCTGAACTCTTCACTGAGGAGCACTGTCTCCTCAAATGAAAAATACTGAAGCAATGAAGAATGTCCGCAGACTGTGGCCACCATATTTACTTACAGTATCTGCAACTAAAATAATTCAAATACCTAGAGAAAACTACAATTTTAATTTTTAAACAAATTTCTTAAATATTTAAGATAGCAGCCAAGGATATAATTCCGTAGAACAAAGCACCTGCCTGTCAAGTGCAAGATCCTGAGTTCAATTCCTGGTACTTCAAAAAACAAAACAAACAATATTTAAGATTAACAGTCTTATTTTAATCTTAAAATAAATTGTTTAAAATGAGAATCATAAAATTTATAGGATATAAATGTCAAGATATTAAGAGAATATGCCATAAAAACTAGAAGTTTATATGATATATTTAAATTAGAGGAAATATAAAACATATGGCCTTACCTCAACATTTCTAATGGATTTGTCTCATGAACTTGGTTGCCACACCTGGGACAATCATTGCTATCTTCAAAGTGCTGAACAATACAAGTCTTGCAGACTAAAAAAGAAAGAAGCTTTTAGATTAAAATGGATCATCTGAACTATCACTTAAGTAGAAGCAGTCCTTAAAACATTATTTACTACATGAAGTATACTATTATTTAATCTAACTGTATAAAACCTCAAAACTGTAACACTGTAGCAAAACTCAAAGGAAATGAAAGCCTTGACCATGATACGAAAAACATACCCTATTTTGCTTATTGTTTTTATATTCACAAACCATGTAATACTCCAGTCATAGTCCTTCTGAAAGCTAGTGCATTTATGCAAAAAAAGTATTTCTCATTTAAAGAAGGACAGAGAAAAATAAAATCATTTAAGATTGCCTTGATCTCTTTTGTTAAATAACTCATTTGAATGTATCACAAATAGTTTTTAATAAAACCTGAAAGTTTGCAATGTGTAGAGCTTACTTTTATTGGCAACATATATGCTCCTTGGACAGAATGGGAGTTATAATGGACTTTCTGGTCTTTGCAGAGTATGTTGAATTTGTAAATATAGGAACTATACTTCCATGGAGCAAAAGATATAGATCAAAGTGGTAACAAAAGCATGACAGATAAAGATGAAGAATATAAGAGAAACTTCTAAGAACAATAAAAGTTTTAAATAAATGTTCTGAACAAAGATAATGCACATATGACTGGTGGATTTGGGACAGTAACACTATATAGTCCCATATTTCCTCCAATTAATGTTAATTTCTTTAGTTATAAATCTCTTTCATGTTTTCCTAAATTTCCATTACATATTATGTCACTTTTCTCGCCCCAAAAACCTTCACACATTTACAGCATGTGAACTGTAAAATTTCAAACCAACTCTCTTTCCTGTACTCCTCTTCCATATTATTATCCTGTGCAACCTGAAATCTTCAGCAAGTAAGTCAAGACATCAAGAAATATTATTCTACTTTCCTTTCATAATTTAATTTCAAGGTACTCTTTTCCTCTTCTTCATGCCCCATATTATCTATAAATTTAACTATCTTAATCAAGAGTGAACCTAGAATTCATACCATGTGATTAGGAAAATTCAAATGTACTTCATATACTGGCTATAGCAACAATGATCAGAGAAGAAATCTACCAGATTTCTAATTTTAAAATCATTCAGTACATATATAAAATAACAGCTTTTGTGTTACTTATTTATTCACTGATTTAAGAGACATTTATTGAATGCTAGGCATTATACTAGTAGTTGAGCATCCAGGAGCAAAGTCCACAATCTTATGAAGCTTATAGTCTATTTAGGAAAGCCATCAGATAATTTTAGTTTATGGCAAGTGATATTTTCATCTTATCCCCCACCTCAAAATGGTAGACAGAGCCTGGGGGCTGGCAGCTAAACAGAATGATCAGGGTAGGCCTTTCTAAGAAGGTGACATTTAACCAGCTTTGTAAGTGCATTAGAATGCCCAATTCTTTACTCTTCATCATTCCATCAGTAATTTAGGGCAGCATCCTCCCTCCTCACAATAGTCTCCAAATTTATGTGAAAGACAATATGAGAAAACATGTTTTAAATAAAGCTAGCTTAGGGTTACCATGTAAAACTGAATACCTACTCTGGCCCTCAAATCTCTTGATTTCCAAAATGGTTCTAAATGTATTTTAATTTTTATTTATTTATTTTTTGGCTGTATGAGGAACTGAACTCAGGGTCCTTACACTGAAGCACATCCCCAGCTGCCCACCACCACCATTTTTATTTTGAGACAGGGTCTCACTAATCATTAAGTTCTTCTTTCTGGGTTTGAACTTGCAGTCCTTCTGCCCCAGCCTCCCAGAGTACTAGGATCACAGGTTCATTATGCCCAGCTTCAGTCTTTTTAAAAAGTCAAACTAATTTTTGAGAAGTCTGTCACCTTGTTATGCCACAATGACACTGAGAACAGATAATCTGAATACATTCAGAAGATTGCTGGCATTTGCTCTTTTTCCAGGGACTCAATGTAATTCCCACAAATTCAAGATAGAGGTTGAAAAGGACAGACAAGGAACAAGAGTGAAGGGGTTTTACAAAGCCTGATCCTGACCTGGAGTCTTGATCCCTGTAGTTCAAAACATTTATCACAGTCAAAGGATTTAACATTCCTTTGTTGTCTGCTAATCTTGACTAGCCAAAGAGGTACATGTCATTGTTCAGAGCAAATCCCGGTCTAGGTTAGCCAAGAGTATCAGGGCCTCCCAGAGGCAATGACACTAATCTAGACTGCCTGATTAAGAGTGGCAATTTTTCTTTTATTATTAATTTTTTTGCATTATGGCACAGATTTTTATTTTTTTAATCAGATTTTATTGGTACATTGTAGACAGACATAACAATCACATTCATCATAACTCCCCCCCCTTTTTTTTTTGGTACTAGGGATTGAATTCACAAGCCTTGCACTTGCCAGGCAGGTGCTTGTGCTGCTAAGCAAAATTTCCAGCCCAAAAGTTGTAATTCTTAAAGCATCCAAAGATGCACAGTTTTAAGAATAAGGCTAAACTAACTGAAAACAACATAACAACCAGCACCTAAGAACACTGCTAGGAATACTGATCTACATTTAGATGTGGAATGCCCAGTATATAGCCCCCAGCTACATGTGGGCAGTGAACACATGAAATGTAGTTAGTTCAAGTTGAGATGTGTTGTAATTATTAAAAAACAAACCCACTAAATTAAAAATAATACGAAAAAAAACTTCAGTAATTTTTATGTTAATTACCTGCTGACTTGACCATTTTAGATAAACCATTTAGATAGACCATTTTAGATAAAATATATTAAAATTCACTTAAATGGCCACTAGAGAAATTTTAATTTACGTGTGGCTCATATTTATTTTATTGTTGGGGGGGTACTGGGGATTGAACTCACAACCTCTCGCTTGTCAGGTAGGCGCTTATGCCACTGAGCAAATCCCCAGCCCTCATATTTTATTTTTATTTAACAGTGTTGTTCTAAATGAATACAGCCTTCTTTCAAAGAGATGACTTTATTTTCATACCAATGTCTGAGATACAGAATCTTATTTTACTTTTGAAGATGAGAAAGGTGATGTCGCCATAGGTCAGATCACCTGCCTACTCTGAATGGTAGCACAGACTTAAGTCCAGGTTTTCTGATAGAATATTTATTTTTTTCAGAATAGAATATTTTTTTTCAGAAACTAAGGTCAAAAACTAATTTTTATAAAAACATTTTTTTCAGATAGTTTTAAAAAAGGAAAATGTTGAACAACACAGTATCTTTTAATTTTTGTTCAGATGATCTGGTGATAATTATCACTGTTATAAACATGTATGAAAGTTTATATACCAGCCATCAGCACCATATATGCATATCTGCATGCATGTGTCCTAAATCAACATATGTAATTCAACACAATCTAGTAATTTAGTCCACACTACAACTCTATTAGTTAGGTAGAATTCCCAGGCCTCTTGTAGATGAAGAAATTAATTATAGAACCATAGCAAGCTGTCTTAACGATCTTGATGCCAGAAAGAACTGAAGGGGAATGTTTGAATCCAGAGTCCATCGTTGTAACCAGTGTATACTTGCCATGACATATTTATTTCTAATTTTACTTCTACAGATCTATGAATAATAATGCCTTGTGCATTATGGAAGCCTCACATATTTTGACTTAAAGAATTAGATCTCTTTTTAGTGTATTTTGCACAAAATAATCCAAGTATATTATTTGTTCCTTCAAAAAAATACCTCTAGAAAGTACATCACCCACCTGGTTTTTAAAGGTCATTAAATAAAGTTGAACCGTGGCTGGTCCGATGGCAGTGGGTTATCAGAACTTATTAACATTAGTGTCACTAAAGTTGGTATACCACCCTCCCACTGCTAAATTTGACTGGCTTTAAAAAAAAATAAAGTTGAACCTCATATAAATTAGAACGTTAGGAAATCTAAGCCAGAAGTTCAATAAACCTGAAACAACACAATTAAACATTTAGTTTCTCTTGTTTTTAGCTTATAAAACTTCTCACCAGAAAACTGACCTCTGAATTCTAGTTTATAACTTGAAATCTATACCAATAGAAAAATACATTTTAAAAACATCTTATAAATTTAATGCCAACTTCTCTAAATGCTCAACTGCTGTTCCAGTTAACTCAACTGGTACCAGGACAACATTTAAAAGGTTTTACTAGTCTATAGTTACAGACTCTGATTGGAAACCAAAAACAATCTCTATTTCTCACCAGACAGTCTGTTGAAACACCTGGGTGAGAAATGAAGTTAGGCTCACCAAAGAGATTTCCAGTTGGAAAAATCCTTAAATAATAAGAGCTAACATTTACTGAGCACCAACCAAGCCAAGTATCAACCTCTGCGCTCAGAGCATTCCATGGTTTATAGTATAGGCTGTTACTACTCCCCTTTGACAGATGAAGAACACAAACATAATCCTGGAGAGAAAGTCTGAGCAGGCAATCTGCAGTTGCCTTCTATGTAGGCAGAGATGGCATTCATTCATGGGCTATGCAGCTCCAGGCTTAAAATACAATCCACTATATATTTTAGAATGAACTACATTTAGTTCTCTTAATTGATCTTCATATTTAGTTCATTATAAACATCATTAAATTTCTGTCTGAAGTTTACTGAGTTTCTCACTTTTACTGTTTCTTTCATCTGAAAAAGGTTGTTACACAAATTAATAGAAAAATGGCCGTTGTGTCATCTAAAGCAGTTTTTTTTTTTGAAACTTAGAATTACCAATGAAATATTTTGAAGAATGGAATCACAGGTTCCATCACAGATCAATTAAATCAGAGTTTCTAGGAGATTAACACCAGGACTCTTAACTCTGCAAAGCCCTTTCACTAATGCAGCCAGAATAACTGGAGAACACTGACCAAGTGAAGACCAGAACAGGTCACAAAAATACAGCTTCCTGGCCGTTGCCTGTTGAGTTGCTCCAGTGGAGCATCTGGTTTTCTATTTCACCATAACCAGAGATAATTCTACTATTAC